ATTTAATTTTTAAATTTCACATCTAAATTTTTTGTACTCTAGATAATAAGTATCTATTTAACACCTAGCCTTAATCAAAAGTTGTCTCTCGTTATTGGAAGAGAAAATTAACTATAGGAGCTTGTGCTTATATAAAACCAGAACTCAATTCATAAAGTCCTCGTCAAGAGGGTGAAAATTCTTGGTATTGTCTTATTTTAATCTAATATGCCTTCTAATAATTTCCCTAGAATATAAATCCGTTAAAACTCTCCCCAAATATATGCGGAGAGGCCAATGCCCAAAAGTTCAAAATTTTGAAGCATACAACAGATTATAAGTAGACATTTAAGAAAATCAAGACAAACTTATACACAAATCACATACGCAATCTTCAAACCTAAGATTTCTTGGCTAGTAGTCAGAGCTCCCAACCAACATATTAAGATGAATTGCATTCTGACAATATATTGAGTAAGGATTTCCATGAAAAATCCTTACCTAAGTAAATCATTTATGTGCTTTTTTTTAACATGAAACAAGTGAAGTTTAATTTAAAAAGAATTTTCTTAACCTTCCAAATATAATATTCTCTACTATAAATCAAATCTAGACAAAAGTACAACAACATCATAACGAGTAGAACCTAAAATGTCATTACTATAAATAATATCTCTAGAAGGTGGGGAACCAATAGCAAACTACTTTAATTTAGCACCAACTTTTGCCTAGATAGACTTAAGTTTTATTTGGGGCAACTTTCTTATTATTTTTTAAAACAACTTTTTAATATAAAAAAATCTAATTAAAAAAAAAAAACTAAAAACTGTCTTAAAAAATAATAAGAAAGCTGATCCAAACAAAACTTTAACCTCAAATCTAGATTTTTGCAGAGCAAATGTTGAAGGCTTATCTATTAGTTCTAGTGAAAATAATTTTATGGAATTTTCATTATATTTAAAAACATAATTATTATCACATTCATAATTAATAACATTCAAGGCACAATCAAATTCTACCTAAAACAACACCTTTAAAATCCATTCAAAATGATATCATGCAGCAAAATAATTAATGATTGTAATACTTATACAAAATAACATACCTTATGAAGCGCTTTATAAAAATTATTCTTTGTAAGTGTTACAGACTGAAAACACATTGTATATATATATATATATATATTAACCAAAAAATTCAGAGTATAAAACTATAGAAAAACAGAATAGGTGGTAAAGAAAAAAACATTAGGAGCACCACATCATCCTAACATTTCAGCTCCATTCTGAGAAGAAAAAAAAAGCAATAAATTGTTGAACCAAAGCATAGAATTGAACATCATATTAGCAACAATACTTGCTTACAATCCATCAACCAACCACCTAAAAAACCTTCAAAATATTTCTAATACTGCCTTTCTATCGAAATAGTTACATGACTAATGCTATATTCCCTTTTGATATATACAATTACCTTATCAAGAACATCATCAGGAAACTATGCTAGATGATAACTTAAAGGAGACAAACTTAACTAAATAATATATCTCCTATATATTATAATTGAAACCTAACTCGCCTTTACGCCATCAGATCTACAACATTCATACAAGCATATAGAAGACATTATTTTCAAACTCGAAAGTAAAATGTAACACACATTCAAGTAATGTATTTTTGCGCGAACGTTTACATTTTAAATATTGTAAAACCGCCTAATGCACTAAAATATAATCCTCTAAACTTAAATTAATGCATCGAAAAGCGTACTTGTTAATTTACTAAGAAATTTGATTCCTCTCATGTACTCTTATAAACATGGTAAATTTGTGAACGCTAATGTCTGAGAATGCTGCAAAGGGATTAAATGCTCATTAATATAAAATTCTATTTTTAAACTAAACACCTGCATGCACTCCAACCATTATTTTGAACTCTCAAATTTAAGGTTCAATAATATTATGCGAGTCAAATATTCAAGTTTTATTCTTCTTGACAGAATTGAAGTTGATATGACTTGGATTAATAAATGAAAATTTATCTCAATCGAAGGAGATTCTACTCTTTCAAATATCTCCAAATTCCTATAAAATACATATATTTTTAAATGACTACAATGTTACCCCGATGATAGCTGTATATCAACTTGAGGGGTTAATTTTCAAATTCTATGAAAACTCTAAATCTTTATATATATAGAAAATTAATATTTAAAATTAAAATTAATCATTTAAAACTTAAAACATAATTCATCCACCCTCCACAATTGTTTTGCGATGGTGATGAACTCAAGGATAACTCTAGCTAGGGGCGGATCCAGCTTCTTTTTTTAGGGTGGGCAAAAAAAAATTTTTTTTTTGAGGAATGGGCAAATATACTTAGGATTGATAAAAGTATGACAAAAAAATTTTTTGAGGGGGGAAAAAATACCCAAAATATTTCAAAATCTCCCCTCTAAATATTTAAATTTTTTTTTTTGAGGGTGGGCATTTGCCCACCCTAAGCCATGGGTGGATCCGCCCATGACTCTAGCTAACAAAGAGCAAATGTGCAGTAAAGAATATCACTCAAATTCATTTTCAAATATTATTCTTCTTGTACGGACATGCCATTTGTTCTGAGTCGGTGGTTTGACTAGATGGCTCCACATAAACCCATAACTTGGTCAGACAACTTAACGTGGTATGATTATGACTGGTCCTATAATCGGTGGTTTGGTCAAATGGCTCCAAAAGTAACCTATGGCTTGGCCAGGATAACTCCAAGTGGTAAATAATTATGACTATGGGCCTATAACCTATTGGCTTGATTAGATGAATCTATAGTATTATAGTCATGGCTAAAGGCCTGTATATTCCCTAATGGCTGCTTACTATTGTGTAATACATTATAGGATATAATAGATAGGGCACAAAGCCATATATTAGCTAAGGTTGATTTGAATTCGTCCCTTAGACAAACATACCCTAAATTTAGAAAGTCCTCTTATACAAATCATCCCATGGCTGCCAATAAACATCCTTTGGTCTGGTTAGGTCGACTATCTCATCTGACTAAGCAAACTATGGACTCTAATAACCCGAGATGACCAAACCATGAGATATTGATTGGGTAAATGAAGTTGATAAATTTCTAAGTTTAATTATTAAATTTAGTGTAAGCTGATAAAAAAATATGCCTTCCAAAAATGTTCCTAGATCCGTTAAAACTCTCCTCGAATATACGTGGAGAGGTTAGTGCCCAAAAGTTCAAATTTTCAAAACATGCAACATATTATATTGGGACATTTAACTAAATTAAGGAAAACTCATACACACATCACATACGCAAGCTTCAAACCTAAATTTTCTTGGTTAGAAGTTAGAGCTCCCAACCAACATATTAAGATGAATTGCATACTAACAATATATTGAGTAAGAATTTCCATGAAAAATCCTTACCTAAGCAAATCATTTATGTGCTTTTTTTCTTTTTACGTGAAACAAATGAAGCTTAATTTAAAAAGAATTTTCTTAACCTTCCAAATCAAATATTCTCTACTATAAATCAAATCTAGACAAAAGTACAACAACATTATAAAGAGTAGAACAAAAAAATGTCATTACTATAAATCTAGATTGATGGAATTGAAAAGGCCACAGCTTTTAAGCCTCATTAATGAGCTCATTTAGAGAGAGAGAGAAAGAGAGAGAGGGATTGAGCAATTATTTTGGGTAGCGTCATTCTATCAGAGAGGAATTAACATTTATTATTATTAGAGAGAGAGAGTAGTAGATTTCAAAATCAGCTTTGAAAATTCTTGAAATACACGCAGGTGGGAATTAAAAATATAGGCGGGAGTGAGATTTATATATTATTTATTATTAATGTTTTTAAATATTTAAATGTAATAAATTCGAGCCGGCTCGCGAGCTCAAGATCAAACTCGAGCTCATTTACTAAACGAGCTCGAGTTTGATTTCGAGCTCAACTCTTGAGCTCGATAAGCTCGGCTCGCAAGCCCATAAACAAGTCGAGCTCGAGCCAACTTTGCTCACTTACACCCCTAGTCTAGATAGACTTAAGTTTTGTTTGGGACAACTTTCTTATTATCTTTTAAAACAACTTTTTAATATAAAAAAATCTAATTCAAAAAGTTTTTAACTAAAAAAATATCTTAAAAAATAATAAGAAAGTTGATCCAAACAAAGCCTTAACCTCAAATCTAGATTTTTGTACAGCAAATGTTGAAGGCTTTTCTGTTAGCTTGAGTGAAAAAAAAAAATTTATGGAAGTTTCATTATATTTAAATACATAATTACTATCACAATCATAATTAACAACATTCAAGGCAGAATTCTACAAGACAGGATGTGGATTATGTCCATAACTACCTAAAACAACACTTTTAAAATCCATTCAAAATGATATCATGCAGCAAAATAAGTAATGATTGTAAAACTTGTACAAAATAACATACCTTATGAAGTGCTTAAATATATATATATCAACCCAAAAATTTTCAGTATAAACCTATAGAAAAACAGAATAGGTTGTAAAGAAAAAAACATTGGAAGCACCACATCATCCTAACATTTCATCTCCATTCTGAGAAAAAAAAAAAAAAGCAATAAATTGCTCAACCAAAGCATAGAATTGAACATCATATTAGCAACAATACTTGCTTACAATCCACCAACCAACCACCTAAAAAACCTTCAAAATATTTCTAATACTGCCTTTCTATCTGAATAGTTACATGACTAATGTTATACTCCCTTTTGATATATCCAATTACCTTATCAAGAACATCATCAGCATTTGCCTCTGGTGTGATTGTCACATGACATGCAAGCAGAACCTTCCCCACAGTGATAGCCCATATGTGAAGCTCATGAATGGCAATCACACCTTCCAGTTCACAGAGCCCTTTCTCAAGCATTGTCGCATTGATTTCTCGAGGCGTGCTCTCCATAAGAACCTCTAATATGTTTCTGAGCATCCTTATGGTAGTCACAAGCACAATCACAGAGAATATTAGAGTGCATATTAGATCAATAATCTTCCATTCAGGCTTATACCATATCATAGCTCCACCAATCATGACTCCTATGCTCTGGATAGAGTCACCAAGCACATGGAGATAAGCACTGTGCACATTTATGTTTCTCTGATGCTCCTTAGTTCCTTCGGAAGCAGATTTTGATGTTGAGTGGTCACCCGAGTGCTTTAGAAGAGGTTCCTTCACATCATTGTGCCGGTGATGTTGATGATGATGGCTTGTGACACTGACACCATGGCAATGAAAGTGCTCTTCACCATGCTCAAGGTTGTGATCATGACCATCATGAGCATGGGAGTCTTCATGGTCAGGATGTTCATGAGCATGATCATGATCATGTCCAAAACCGCCATGGGCATGACTATGGCCACCATGATCATGCCCCAGTAACATAGCCATGATGATGTTGACTACCAATCCAAAGGTTGACACAGCAAACATCAATGAACCCTGTACCTTGCCGCTGTCGTATATTATTCTGACAATAGCTTCATAAACCAGAATGCCAACTAATAGCCATATAAGCTGAATGGAAACCAATGCTCCAAGAATTTCGATTCTGAAAAAGCCATATGACTGCCGGGGTGTTGCTTCCCACCCTGATGCCCAGAGGGAAAATAAGGAGATGGCGAATGCCGCAACATCGGAGAGGAGATGGGCGGCATCAGTTAAGATAGCAAGACTGTTTGATTTTATCCCTCCAACTACTTCTACTGTCATGAATACGATGCACAGAACAACGGCCATAAGAAGCTTTCTCATGGATGCAGATCTTTCTTTGGCGTCTTTCGAGCTGTTTTTACTGTCAGAGAAATCGCAAGCTGCACCGCCGCAAATTTTGTTCCCAGCAACACTTGACATGCCTGGAGTCACATCGATGTTAACTTCAATAACCTGAGAACTTGGTGTTGTGCGCTCTTCCATCTATGGGAAAAATAAAAATAAAAATAAAATAAATAAATAAAAAGTCAAATCAAGAAAAGTTAAGAAGAGGAAAAACATGAGCTGCCTTAGATAAACATAGAACTAATTGAAATTCAACTCAACATTCATGATAAATGAATATCAGAAAAGAGGATGGTTCTAATATGACCTTAATGCTTTGCCTGAATAACTTCCAACCACCATGGTTCTAATTGAAAAATCAAATATAAAAAAAATTCAACATTAGAAGTTCAGGCATTTCAATGCTCAAACCTAATTAATTTCAGGTTGAGATTAATTGTTATAAGGCATAAATCCTCCTCTAAGAATAAATTTTCAAGTATCCAGTTGCCTTATCCATATTTTACAATTTATAGTACCACATGGTTCCAATACTTAAATGATTTCATAGTGTATTACAATTTGATATTACGAACTGTACAGTTAGAAGGAAACCAAAGTGACTCCCCAAATATGATGTCCTTACAAGTAGCATTAAAATTACTTACTTGGTACTTCATTATAAACAAAATTAGGTTTTCACGAAAAGGCTAGCAAGGCTTATTGGGTAAGTTCATCCTTCTTCTATGATTCACTCCATTAGACTTCATTTTTCTATGTTGAACTACATATTTGGTATTAAAAAAAGAGCTACGTATTACTCCATAATAAATTAAATAGAAAGTAAAAGATACAAATGTATAGCAAGCAACCCCCAAATATTGAGCCAAAAAAAAAAAAAATGGTGCAAAGCAGCAGAAGCTAAGATATATCCCAATGGAAGAACAGCATTAAAAAAATAATCTCAGATGATTCTCAATACTGGTTGATAGAAATATCTCCAAAGCGATCAAATTGCAAAAAGAAGACAGAATTTTCAACTTATCTATTTCCAATATAGAGCAAACACAAACAAAAATGATAGAACAAAGCATGCTAATATGCCAGTATTGAGAAAAGAAAGGCTTTTCTAATTATATAAGCAAATTAAACAAACCAAAGACCTTGATTTTCTTTAAGTCAATCAGAATCTGACTCCAAGATGCTTTGATTTTGGTTCTTTTCGATTGAAGCAACTTGCAAGTCTATGTACAAACAAACAGAATAAAAAAGCAGCCACCCCTATAAAGAAGAATCTTTCCACAAGAAGAGCAAAAGGTTACAATCTTCATCGGTAAAGAAGGATCCACTTTATAGAAGATGCTAAGACTTTTTGATAGTATCTGTGCATAATCATTAATCATGTAGCTCAAACCACGTTTTTTATAATGCCAAATAATAATATCATCACATTCAACATGATAAATAATTGTTAATAATAAAAAAAGCCGAGCATCTCATTTCTTATCCCTTTTAGAGAATGGTTCATCCTACCTTGTGTTTTATCAACATTACAGGGAAGCGATCCCAATGATCATTAGCAGCTCAAATATCCCATTCAAAGAAACAAAAAGGTTCTAACATAAATGGTGATATGGATCAGGCTCTTCGATGTGAATTAGTAAATATAACATTTAAGAATTAAATATGTAAATACGTAGGAATTCAGTAGTATGTATGTAAATCCTTCCGTAATTTCCATAAGAAAAATCTGAAGCCCATAAAAGATCCTTCTTTCTCAGGATTCAATTCTTTCCCCGTAAAGGATTGATTCGAAGGGTTTCAATTATATACATGATTGCTGACAAAAAATTGATGAAACTAAAAGATCAAGTTATCCCAAAACAGGAACAAGATAATTGAATAATGCAACAAATTCACCAATGATAAACAAAGAAAATAAAATGCAAATCTCTTGATAAAAAAAAAAAAGGATGAATCCCTCCACCGAAACGACAGACGAAAAAGTAATCTCGACCACAGCCCAAATAAAAAAATCCCTCAACTATGCCATACTCGCCCAACAAACGACTGGATGACACATAAAAACAAGAAAGCGATGGGAAAACCAGGCCCAATCTTCCAACAGACAGTCAATCGAAGAAAAGTTTCGTCATGTAGAATCATCACATCCGTAAACCCAAAACATAAGTTTTCTTCCCAGATCCTTCACCAGAATCGGAGGAAGAAAGAGAAAAACAGACGTCGGGGCATAGAAGATCGATTACAGCAGAAGGGTTCAGCACACATCAAATTGCAAAATCGTAGTATTTTCTCGATACCTTAGACTTGAGAATGGTGATTCCCGGCGGCGGTCGGGAAGAGAAGCCGAGGTAGGGAAAAAATACGAGAGCTCTTCGTCACCTATATTTTACCTTAGGATAGCATTAAATACTACAGGTGTCTCATTCCTGTTGACCGATCGTGTTTGGATCCGATAGGAGCTTGACCCACCCGATTGGATCCGAATTCTACCCGCGACCGACTCGATCCGAATTCCATTTATTAATCCGATCAATTTTAAGTTTATTTTGAATTATGTAATACATCAAAATGAGTTGCATAAAAAATTGCCCAAAAAAATTGTGCTATATTTAAATTAATAATTAAAAATAATTTTTTTATATAAAATATTAAGCACGTGTCATTAGTGCACATATTCTTCCTATTTAAAGACATCACGTGGACTTGTTAAGGCATGGGTCATTCCAGTTTGAAAATTATATTCATAAATGAAGATTTAGTCATTCATGCATTGCTTCCTAATTAATTCTTATTTTCATTGGCTGATTTTGTTTTTTATTACAAATTATTTTCTTAAAATTAAATTTTAAATATTTTTGAATTATTATGGCTCAAAATTTGCATAGGCAAACTTTTCAAAATATATTGGATTTGAATAACTTAAAATATCATTATAAGTATTTTTAATCAAAAATTAAAATTAGTAAATATTTTGATTTAAATATTCTTTGATTTAATACTAAAAAATCTATAGATGCCATAATTTCAACATCCAAAAAAATTAGAAAATGAAAATTCTTCTAAAAATCAATATAATGGAGCTTAGTAACCAAATTTTTTGAAAAGATTGCAAACATAAGGCCGTGGGTTGAGCCATAAATTTTTATTATTATAGTCAAACTAATGATTTTAAAATTACCTTTAAAAATTTCATCTGTGCCTGTGTTTAGCATTGACGGTCTTAAACTTTTTTATTATTGTTGCGTCCTGGAGTATTTGTGGCTACAGAGAGATATAAAATTTAGCGTTTTAGCGTTGTACGAAAATCCGGCACGCAATCAGATAAGAGAGAGGATGTAGCATTTATGAGACACCAAGATTTTTACATTGAAAACCTCTGAAAAGTGGGAAAACCACGGGACCTAGCCCAGTTTGAATGAATCCACTATTGTTTGCAGTCGATTACAATTGAGGCCCTTCCTTAGGGGGGAGGCCTTAGCTTGATGTACATTATATAAAGTATATAATGAGAATACAAAGAGTCACTGGTTATGTGTTCATTTTATTTGAAGGACCGCAGTCGATGGGCGATGTAAGTCGGAAGGATCGTAGTCGGCGGGAGATGGAGGTCGGAAGGACTGTAGTCGGTGGGCGACGTAAGTCAAAAGGGCCATAGTCGGCGAGCGACGGAGGTCGGAATGACTGTAGTTGGTGGATGACATAAGTAAGAATGACTGTAGTTGGCAAGCGATGGAGGTCGGAAGGACTGTAGTCAGTGGGTGCGTAAGTTAGAAGGATCGTAATCGGGGGGCAACGGAGGTCAAAATGACTGTAGTCGGTAGGCAATGTAAGTCAGAAGGACCGTAGTCGGCGGGCGATGAAAATCAGAAGGACGGTAGTCGGTGGGTGACGTAAGTTAGAAGGACCGTAGTCGGCGGGCGACGAAGATCGGACTGTAGTCGGTGGGTGATGTAAGTCAAAAAGACCATAGTCTGTGGGCGACGAAAGTCAGAAGGACCGTAGTCGACGGGCGACGGAGGTCGGAGGGACTGTAGTCGGTGGGCGACATAAGTCAGAAGGACCGTAGTCTACGAGCGACGAAGGTCGGAAGGACTATTGTCTGAAGACGGAGATCAGAAGGACGACGCTAGGTAGAAGTCCAACTATGGATATAAATCCCACATTTAATAGTTATCCGGCAAAAGTCCAACAACAGGCAGAAGTTCGGTGTCAGGTAGAAATCTGGCGACAAGCAAAAGTAGAAGTCCGAATTCAGTCGGCGGCCGGGGAGAACTCTGGCGTTAGATGGTATTCGGGCAAAACTCCAGAGCAATTGAAGATCGGGCAAAATTTCGGCGTCACTTGGAAGTCGGGCGGAATTCTGACGCCACTTGGAAGTCGGGCAGAATTCTAGCGTAGCTTGAAAGTCGGGCGAAATTCTAACGTCACTTGGAAGTCGAGCAGAGAATCCCGGTGGTGGTCGAGGAGGAGTTTCTTCCCTCCTACTCTTCTTCTTATTCTTCTTCTCTTCTTCTACTTACTTTCTTCCTGGGGTCCCCCCTCAAGAAAAATGAGGGGTCTATTTATAGCTTTTTGAGGATAGAAGGACCGTAGTCGGCGGGAGATGGAGGTCGGAAGGACTGTAGTTAGTGGGCGATGTAAGTCAGAAGAGCAATAGTCGGCGGGCGATGGAGGTCGCAACGACTGTAGTTGGTGGACGACATAAGTAAGAAGGACAGTAGTTGGCAGGTGATGGAGGTTGGAAGGAATGTAGTCGGTGGGTGACGTAAGTTAGAAGGATTGTAGTCGGGGGGCGACGGAGGTCAGAATGACTATAGTCGGTAGGCGATGTAAGTCAGAAGGACCGTAGTCGGCGGGAGACGAAAATTAGAAGGATGGTAGTCGGTGGGTGACGTAAGTTAGAAGGACCGTAGTCGGCGGGCGACGAAGGTCGGAAGGACTGTAGTCGGTGGGTGACGTAAGTCAAAAAGACCATAGTCTATGGGCGACGAAAGTCAGAAGGACCGTAGTCGACGGGCGACGGAGGGACTGTAGTCGGTGGGCGACATAAGTCAGAAGGACCGTAGTCTACGAACGACGAAGGTCGGAAGGACTGTTGTCTGAAGATGGAGATCAGAAGGACGGCGTTAGGTAGAAGTCCAACTATGGATATAAATCCCACATTTGATAGTTATCCGGCTAAAGTCCGACAACAGGCAGAAGTTCAGTGTCAGGTAGAAATCTGGCGACAAGCAAAAGTATAAGTCCGAATTCAGTCGGCAGCCGGGGAGAACTCTGGCGTTAGATGGTATTCGGGCAAAACTCCAGAGTCACTTGGAGATCGAGCAAAATTTTGGCGTCACTTGGAAGTCGGGCAAAATTCTGACGCCACTTGGAAGTCGGGCAGAATTCTAGCGTAGCTTGAAAGACGGGCGAAATTCTAACGTCACTTGGAAGTCGAGCAGAGAATCTCGGTGGTGGTCGAGGAGGAGTTTCTTCCCTCTTACTCTTCTTCTACTTACTTTCTTCCTGGGGTCCCCCCTCAAGAAAAATGAGGGGTCTATTTATAGCTTTTTGAGGATGGCATGACCCATAAATAAAAGGAGGATCAAGGGCAAATGTGGAGTGGTTCGATGGACGACCGATGTTGAATCCCTTGATCATGTACCGTTTGTCAGATATTTGAAGGTCTTAATGGTGTTGGAATTCAGAGATCATGGGCTCGTTGGATTTTTCTTGTCGAGCCGCTCGATTCGACTATGAGCACGTCATGTTTGGAAACTGTTTGGTACTCCAAATTGTGGTTCAAACCTTCCAACAGCGTTTCGGGTCCTTGATTTGGACTCATTTGGGCTTGGATTGTGTCGAATTTGGTGTCGTTGGGTTCGTATTTCTGAGACGTTCAGTTTGACTATATGTTTGTTGAAATCAGAATTTAGATTATCCCAGATTTAATTTTTAAAGTTTCCAACTTGATTTTTCCTCGAGATTCATGCCCGATCAATTTAAATTTTTTATGACATATCAATTATTATTAAAGATTTTATATAAAAATAGAAATCTATGTTAGTGTTGCATGTTGAAGTATTCACGGCTATAGAGAGATATAGGGTTTAGCGTCCTAGATTTATACGAGATACTAAAATTTTTACATGAAAAATTCGGAAAAAAGAAAAATCATAGGTATTGACTAAGTCAAAACGATTCTATTAGTATTTGTAATCGAATACAAATGATGTCCTTTCTTGAGGTAAGGACTTGACTTAATATAACAAATATACATCATACAAAGTATATTACTTGACGAGATTTAGAAGAATCGAGTGGTATGAGAGTTGTTCTCAAAAGAATGTTGACCTATTAGTTTGGTCAATAGGACCATAGTTAGGCAATGGAAGTCGAAGTGCTATAGTCGGGTGACTAAGGTATATGCGGTCGTTGTCAGGTAATATAGGTTGGAGGGACCTTAGTCGGTGGGTAACGGTGGTCAAAGGAATCATAATTGGTAGGCAAGGGAGGTTGAAGGGACCGTAATCGACCGGTGATGGAGGTCGGTGAATGAAGGTCGAATAGACCGTAATCAGCAGGCGATGGAGGTCAAAGGACAGAGGTTGGAGGGACCATAGTCAGTAGGAGACGGTGGTTGGAAGAACCATAGTCGGCAAGCAACAACGGTCAGAGGGGTCATAGTCAGCAAGCGATGGAGGTTGGAGGGATTGTAATCGATAGGGGATGATGGTCGAAGGGACTGCAGTCGGCAGACGATGATGGTAAAAGGGACCATAGTCGGCGGGCGACATAGGTCAGAAGAAGGCTTAATGATGGCTACCAATTGGAGGTCTGAAGACAATGGTTGGGCCGAGGTCCAACAACGGTGTTTTGGCGGCAAAGGTTTGCTGGTGGTGGTGCTGAGGTGAGCTCTGGGATGCTTCAAGCCTTAGAGCTCTATGAGTCTCTAACCAAGGATATACACCTCCAAAGTCCAAGCTCCCTTAATGTGGGAAGTGAAAGTCTATTTATAGATTTTGAAAGTGAAATGCTCTGTAATATGGAGAATATTTGAGACAAATTTGTAGTTCTTCATCGAACGAACCATATTGATTCCTTGATCATGGAGCATTTGCCAAGCATTTTAGTGCCTTAATGATGTTAGAATTAAGCAATCATGGACTTGTTAGATTTGTCTTGTCGATTTGCTTGATTTGACTATAAGCATGTTATAATTGGAAATCATTTGGTCACCCAATTAATGCACTAAAGCTTCCAAATA